CATTTGCAAGCATTATAAAGTATCCATGGTTACACTGTTATATATTGTACATATTTAATGTGACTGGACTCTGTTGAGATTTTGCTGCCTTTTGAGATTCAAAGTCAACATTCAGCAATCTCACATTGTCCAATTTGATGAATTAATGATACTTTGCTTGAGCCTAAATAATAAATTAAATAATTTTTAATGGAATTTGCGCATAGAAGATAAATGATGAAATATATTTTGCAATGCCAAGAGAATCTTATTGTTTTCGCACGAAATTTGTGAAATATTAGAGAGACAACGCTGTTGACAAGTTTGAGCATGAGCATAAGCTAATCCATAGATACAGATGGGTATGAGGGGAATAATGTATATAGAATATTATAGAATTAATCTATAGAATAGCCATTGCAGTCAGTTGTGGAAAAGTCAAAATTCAAGTTTGGTTAATCTAGATATTCCCTCTTGAAGCTAAGGGACTTGAACAAAGACTGATTGATTGATCCATTCCCATCCATATTTTAATATATATATTAAGTCTATAGTTGTCAATTAATTGTCACAAATTCTGCTTGCTTCAATTGCTAATTAGATATTGTATTTATTCGCTTCATATCACTTCCTAGCCCAATATGATTTCCTGTTGGCCGCAAAACGACAACAAGAAGAAGACAACCTTGGCATGCTTGAGCTCCTCCACATGAAAGAGTTCTCAGACGTGATTCACTTTTGATTTTTGATACGTTCTGTGTCACAAAATTCAAATGAAATGAGCTTGAAATTTAGTTGTTGTTGTTTTCAATTGTTGTTGTTGTTGTTGTAGTTGCTTTTTGTCTGTTACTTGGAGCGTTTTGTTATGCAACACGCGAAATTTGAAACGCTGCAATTAGCTAAACAGCTTCCCGTTTTCATTGTAGAACGCAACGTTGATTCCGCGACTTCCCATTGTCTGTCTCTGTGTCTGTTTTTTTTTTTTCTATCTTTCTTCTCTTTATTTATGATGACGCGTCACACTTAAGCGCTTTACTGTGACTGTGAGAGTCTTTCTGGATGTCTGTCTGCCCGTCTGCCCGTCTGTCTGGCCAACACGTTTTAAATGAACAAAATTATTATGAGCATTATGTAGAACAGCAGCAGCAGCAGCAGCACCAGTCGCAGCAACAACAACAATAATCATTTGGTTTTTTTTTTTTTTGCTGTTCACCACAAACTGTAATTTGAGTCGTGCAACAGCTGAGATTACGTATACGCCACCGCAAGATCTTATTTCAGATTTAAGCTGTATGTGGCCGGCGCTTCTTTATGATTCCGTGTAAGTTGTATTTAAGATGTGTCGCCTTTGTCTTTCGAAATTTATTGTTGGCTCGTGGAAATTACATTGGAAATTAGCATTTGATTGTTTTGCCGTTTCGACTGCTTTTTCTTTTTGTTTGTTTTGTTTTTGTTTTTTTTTTTTTTTCGTATGCAAATCGTGCAATTCATGGTCATATGATTGCGAGTTTGTGTGTGTGTGTGTGTTTTTTTTTTTTCAGTGTTAATTTGCGGCTAGTGATAAATGATAAGCGTAAATTGGCGCAATTGTTATGAGCCAACAAATGGAAATGGCCTCTGAGCTACGCACACACTAAACCGCACTATTAATAATACTTAGTGAGCGGCGCACCATTGATAAATATGGCAGCAGTTAAAACCAGGCCATAAATGCGCAACTACAACAAATCACCAAACAATTTGAGGCCTGTCCACAATGGTTAAGTCAAGCCGTACTCTCTCTTTCTCTTTCTCGGCCTGTCTCTTTCTCACTTGATGCGCCTACTTCATAAACTGCTCAAGTTTGTCTTGAGTCGGACAGAAGTACGCCGTCGTCTTGGCTGGCAGGCCATTATTAGATTTTCAGCAAGCAACTCGAGCCATCCGGCTACAGTGCCTGCCACCACCTTTCGCTCTGGCTGCTACTTGAACCGCCCGCAGAGTCAGTCAGAAATTTCCTGTTATGACCCTGTCTAGTGGCTGCTCGCCACTTAAGCATTTTGCGGTTAGTTAGATCGAGAAACTGTTTTGTTTATGAAGTGCAGTCAGACTGCCAGAGTCAAATTATATATATAGACTTATATACTTATTACTTGTAATATATATTATTTGGTTCGTAAATTGTAATTGTGATTGCCGCCGCCTTGGCCACACCGAATGCAACTGTAATACATGAAATTTATGTGCTGTGAAATAAAGTGAGTGAAGACGAACAGACAGTCGAGGAGCAATGAAATAGGGCGAAGCAAGAGATTTTAAAGAGTTCCCTGATTTGATATAAAGAGATAATAATCCTGATAAAATAGGGTTAGTAGAGAAATGAAATTGAATTTGTAAAAAACTGGTATATATATTTTCTTAAATTATTTAAGATTTTTCACTTGTAAAAGGCGTTGTTTTTTTTTATTAATATTATTTAAGAGAAAATTGTCTTTTATTTATGAAAAATTTTAAATATCACTAAGAAAAATATAAACAAATTTATTCACAAATTGAAACTTAAATTTTCAAAAATACAAAATAAATAGAAATGAAGCAATAGAACAATAAATAGAAATAATTTGTCAATAAAATTAATATTTAATAAACAGTAAAAAAACTAGTAAATTAATTTATTAAAGAATTATCGAAAAAAAAATTAAATTATTTTAAATGTGATTGGTAAATAAAGTATTAAAATATTTTAATAGTAATAGTAATAAAATACACGTATAATATTAAAATACAAAAACAAATTTTGTAAAATTATTTCTCATATAAAACAAAATTGAATTTTATATAAACAATTTGTTATTAATATTGAAGAAGAGTTCTAAAGACAAGACAAGTCAACTGCGAATTGGTGATGAATGTGAAATATCAATAAAAGGCGCTTTATCTATGGCTATTAAAATCAACTTATACTTGTTCTACAAATTTCTGTTTTACTATTAAATAGACATTCATTCTCTTAAATTTAACCCAAATTTCTTTCAGTGTACGCATGTGTATAAAGCGATTGTGGGCGCAAAAACAAGCCACGCGTAAGACGGCAGCTGAAATGCGATTTGAAATCGATGCTTAAATGCCAGTCGAAACGAAATAAAAACAACAGCAAATAAATAAATAAAATAATATAAAACAAATAAATAACACAACAAATATGCCTAAAACAAAAGCAACAGACAGAGACACACAGCTTGAGACAGAGACAGAGGCAGAGTCTGAGACAAATGACAACAAATGAGCGTTTTGAGTGTTGTCAACTTTGTGTTTTATTTGTTTGTCACACTAAAAAATGATAAATGAGCCGAAGCAGAAGCTGATGCGGTAGCTGGCGGGGAAAGGGAGCGGGAGGGGTATCTACAAACTTGGCCAGAATAAATGCCAACTCATCGGGCAACAAAAGCAAACAAACAGAGCCAACAAATTATACGCCCTAATGGCAGGTGATATTCGTGCGCTTTAAGATATATTTAGTGGGCTTTTTTCACTTTTAATACAGGCAGCACACACTATAATATTAAGTGGCCAACAAATGCATCAGCAGCCGAGTGTATAATAATCAATTTTAACAAGCACTCAACTGACATGAAATACAGATATTTGTGTGTTGCTTAAAGCTAATATTAATTTACTACTCTCAATAGTCAAGTTGGCTGGAATCAGTGCGGGAGTCACATTACAGCTGTAATACAAAAACTAGACAAATTATTTGGTTTTAAATCGAAAAACTACGTGCTGCAGCATGGGGTAAATGTATTAAAATTGCGACTTATGGCTGTTGAGTGAAAAATTGTTACTAAATTATATATTTTTATTAATATTAGCCTCATTTTTGTTATGCATGACAAAATTATTTTGGGGAAACAGAAGTCAATTC